ACTACTTAAACACCATTAACACGCGATTATTACTTAAATCTAGCAGAATTGACACCTAGATCCAGCGAAAGCTAGTGCGTTTTAGTTAAATTTATCATTCACGAAAAAAATCCGAAAGTGTCTCGTAACAAACGTTATGATGGTGTCACTAGTAACGCACGTAGACTCGCTAACAACGCACTTACATTATGAAGTTTGCTCCTAAATATTCATAAAGGGAAAATATTTAGAGCACAAGAAGAAAGGAGAAAAAGGAGTTAATAATGTAAATATGAGAATTTCACAAAGAGTAATTAAGGTTCGCAGACATTTAATAAAATTTTACTAAGTTGTTTTTTTTGTAATATTTTAGCTTTACTACATAATACCGAACTCTTTCTGTTTGATTACCTAGCAATTTCTTTTCCAAGCTATTCTAACAACCGGGACATAGTAGCAAAATGAGCGAAGGGTGTATGTGTGTTCTGTGTGGCTTGGGCATAGAGTAAACATTACAGAAAAAAAGGCAATTAGCACCTTTTTTCGCAGTGAATGCCATAAACCAAACAAACACGCGCTTTACTGTATCCATAATAATGATATACGAAAGGTATTATAGTACCTCCCATGTACCAACAATAAAAAGAAAAAGCCGTATGTAATATTGTGACTTTTATATTTTGCAACTGAAAATTAATATTCGTTTCCGTTTTATCGTGCAGACGCGCACTCACGTTAATGAACAGATTAAACCGGCCGGGGGCGATGGTCGATTATCATTAACATATAGATTATATATTAATTTCGTAAATGAACGGTGCATTAAATTAATTATATTAATTTGTTGATTCACAACAGTGCATCATAAATAGCCTAGGTCAAAAATATCCTTCGCCACATCTGTATGAAAACCTATTCGCGATATTGATTAATGTAAGATTCAAAATCTATTTCGGAAAGTCCGTTTGTGATATATGACTATGTATTATATATTTAGTGCGCCCGTAGATATTGTGACATGTAGGCACCCGAACGCCCTCGAGTCATGACAGCGTGAGGGTGCTTTTCTACACTCCAATCGCTAATGGCCACTCTAAATCCTCCCAAGATTTGTCACACGCTAAGAAATCGCGCAGTATAACACAGTTATAATTAGCAGTGTTTCTTTCTCAAGATACCGTACAGAACGCAGTCTTAAGTAAGTATATAACACAAGACAAAGCTAAAACTCATTTGGAGAACCTTGTCAATTTTGGACTTTTATTTCTTAATAGCCATACTTCGTCCCCGTTAGATATACACGTAGGTGATATCACGCAACGTTTTCATATTTTTTTCCGTAAGGACAGACATTTTACGTAGTATTAGAAAACAGAAAAAGCTGGCGAAGCGAGAGTCTGACCTCATTATCAGCCTATTAATATCCCCACAGCTGGGGCACAAACATTCCCTATGGATGGAATAGGGAGATTGGACCATGTACCCACCACGCGGGCCCAGTATGAATTGGCGGGTGCTAACGACTGCAGATGCAGCAGGGACCAACGGCTTACCGTGCCTTCCGAAGCACGGAGGAGCGTAAACCACTTGCGCCATCGAGTTTCTCTTAAAAAACGTACCTACTACTTTCAAAACTGTAATTACAAAAATTGATGCAGTCAAAGAGATGGATTAATTTGTGACTTAGCTTAAAATCAGAAAAAGCTACGCCTGCATTTTTGACCATTTATTGGAGAGGGTTTGAACTCGGTAAATATCCAACATTACGCGTCGAATTTTTTTGTGCCAAAATTATACAACAAACCAAATTTTAACCACTCAGAGAAAATACTTCCTTCCTTCTTTTGACAATCATAGGTTCCAAGTCACACATTTGGTCATCCACCATCATATTTCAAATTCAAATGCTTTATTGTAAAATATAGGTTAGTACAGCAAATTGGTGTTAAGTAAAAAGTTTAGTGTCACTACATTTCGATCTTATTACAAAGTATACAATATCTAATATATAAAATTCTCGTGTCGCGGTGTTTGTGGTTAAACTCCGAAACGGCGTGACCGATTTTCGTGAAATTTTATATGCATATTCAGTAGGTCTGAGAATCGGATGTAATCTATTTTTCATTCCCCTAAATGTTAAGGGTAATCCACCCATAATTTTTTTTTTCAATTTTAGATATTTTTTTTATGATACAGCATTAGTAAATACATACAACTCTAAAGTTTCACCTTTCTACCACCAACCCCTATTTTTTTATGGCGGTACGAAGTTCGCTGAGCCAGCTAGTTTTTTTATAAAATAATCAGGTTTACAATTACATAAAAATCAAAATTATTTGATTACAATTACAATCAAACAAGTCATAGTTAGAAATAGAATTCAAAATATGTTTATGACAAAATTACTACGCAATATTTATGTCAAACTAAAAATAAATAATAATAATAAATTGTGCTATAATAGACTAAAACATAAGTTAATTAGGTAATTATGTCCATTTCTTTCAAGGAAGTGTCACTAATTAACTCTTGTGTATTATAATATACTTTGTCAATTTATAGTTTCATTAAGCGTTTTTTAAAAATAGTCATTGGCAAACTCTTTATATTATTGGGTATTTTGTTAAAAATTGTAGAAGCCATCCCAAAGACACTATTGCTAAATAGTGCAGTTTTACGTTCCATCGCACATATTGTATAGTTATATTCCTATAGTTCCTTTCTTTATATATATAATTCTTCTGTGAGTGTGTATGTCACTGAACTTCTCTTAAACGACTGGACCGATTTTGATGAAATTTTTTGTGTGTGTTCAAGGAGATCTGAGAATGGTTACTGAGATAAGACCTTATCAAATCATGTGCTATACCTCTTACACCATAAGTAAAGCTTGTCCAGTAGCAATCTGTGATCAACATGATCAATTGCGCTTGTCATGTCCATAAATATTGCACATATATGTTGTCTTTGATCAACAAAATTGATAACAGACTGCAACAAGTGATAAATTGCCATATTTGTATTTTTATCGCGTCGAAAACCATATTGCTTGTTACAAAATATGTTATATTTCTCAAAAAATTGGTAAGGATTGTCACAGATAATTCTTTCAAATATCTTTGAGATAACATTTAATTGAGCTATTGGTCTATAGTGTTTTATGTTAGTGTGTTCTCCTTTTTTATATATTGGCTTAACAATAGCAAATTTTAACGCATCAAGAGACACGCCGGAATCAGAAATCAAATTTATTACATGGTTTAAGGGGGATACTGAATATTTAGAAAACTCCTTGAACACTTTAGTAGGACTACCATCTATTCCAACACTTTGTGTCATTTTTAATGTTTGTATGGTTTCAGTACCACCTCGATTGTAGTTTGAGGCATAAATATCGAGTTAGACACGAATGAATAATAGGATGGATAGGAGGGCAGGAGGAGTGTGTTCCTTTATTATTCATCCCTTGAAATGCACATTTTCAAAAATATCACATACAAAAGTATGTGATACTTTTGAAAATGTGCATTTGAAATGAAATGTGCAAAATGATAAAAATCATTTTGTAAATACGTATAGGAATTCCAACTATTAAATCGCTATTTTTCTTTTCTTCGTTTAACTCCGACTTAATTTAATTTTGGTAAAATTTTGTTTATTTATTTTTCTGCAACATTTGACATCTTAATGTTTTTCACCGTTGCCATGGCTACCCATGACATTTATTTATTTTTCTGCAACATTTGACATCTTAATGTTTTTCACCGTTGCCATGACTACCCATGACACGAATACTCTTTCCACGGCTCTATGACTATCCAACCTCCACAGAATACCTACTTTTAGTTCTATTCAAACCTTGTCTAAATTTAAATGGTTCCGGACCTATAAAAGGCCGAGCCACTCTGATCCTCCAACCATTTCTTCGACAAAACTTGTTAAATAAACTTTTTCCTAACTAAATAAACTACCACTTCGCCGGCAAACCCACCAGCAGCGTCGGGCAGTCACCAGCAGGACTGGTCGAGAATCCAGAGACGTCTGACCAGGAGTGCTGCCGCCTTCCAAGAGCGCCGCCCGTGTACCAGCAGCACGACCTCCCGACCCTCAAGCCGCCACTGAAGATAGCCGACAACCCACGCCCTCTACACTTCATACTTCACATCCTCACACTTGCCCATCCTCATTTTATCCCTATTTATTTATTTTATTTGTAAATATTGATTCTTTAAGATTGTAAATATATATATTCTAAACTGTTCTTCTGCTTTTCGTTTATTTCTTTATTTATCTATTTATTTTGCCGCTACACGACACACTTGTTTTAACCATGCTCCTGTTTCCCAGCAATGCTATTCTGTAAAGACACGAAATTTTCACGCGCGAGTCCGTAGCAGATCCGCTATGGATCCGCGCGTGACAATGTTACAGAATAGCACTGCAGCATTGATTTTCGCGTTCACATGCACCAACTGCAGTACTACTGCAGCTATGGTATGGATGAACGATAAACTTAAATTAGAATAAACAGAAGAAAACGCTATTTACCATTTAGTATTAGTATATAAAAAAAATTAGACACTTAGGCCCACTTGCGGTAAATTTAGTAAATCTCGATTTAACTAAACTAGATTTAACCCATACCAAAAATGACAAAGCTTCAATGTATGGGCGATATATAGTTTTAATTGATTTGATTTAGTCCTGTTGGGTCTTAGGGTACATGTCCTGCAGTATAGCAGTTATTCTGTAAGAACACACTCAATTTCATCTCGGAATCCGCAGTGTTATTTAAAATTAGAACACTTTCAAATAAATTTCAAATCACACCGGCGGATTCCGCGGTAAAATGTGAGTTTGTTCTGCGGACAGCAGTATTATATTCTGTAAAGCAATGCTGTCCGTAATACATTGGCTAAAATTAGAAGTGCTACTGCAGCTGGGGCATACCCCAGCTAGCTAGCAAGTTCATCGATAGATGAACCATAAACTTAAATTGGGATGAAAAGAAAAATCGCTATTTACGATTACAGCATAATTTATGAACACGGACTTTGTATAAATAGTATTATTTGAAAGGCAGAACACACACAGACACAAATTGAAATGATAATAAAAATCAGCTATACTGTGTTTTAAATCAATACAAAACAATTATTGTTATAAGTATTAGTATGTAAATAAATAGTGATTCTTAGACCCACTTGCGGCGAGGTTTGAACGCGATCCGTTTGATTCAATACCGAACTACGAACCAAATCACTGACGGGTTATGATTTAAATGCAAAAAAGTTGCCTTTTGTTTGTTGATCTTGGAAGCTAAAGCTTTGGAAAGGCGAGCCGAATCTCTTTTCTCGGGAGGTGGACAATCCACGTGGCATTGGTACAGCGGACTCGGTAGAAATAATGTTCATCAGCACTGCATACGCTTCAGTCTTCGTAAGCAGCGTGGAATTTGCAGGGCCGTCCACGAACTCCTTCGGTGTCATCATAAGGAAACGTATTTTCTCAACAGCATTCCGAATCGTGATCTCCCTCGTGTCTGTAAAGTAATCATCGTATTTATAATAATTTTACTCAAGACGAGACTGTATTGGCGTTTCCTTTGTCTTCAGAGGGGAAGTATTGAACTAAAAAGAGGAAAAATATACGAAATATACTCTAGTGGTATATAGAACATAGTTTGTTGACCTATGCACCCTACCTACGCACTAGCCGCGAATAGCGACGGATGGTGGGGAAGCGGTGCCGCGTGGAAGTGTGGCTGCTCTGACGGAAACCGCGCGAAGTCAAACAACCTAGTAAATAAAGCTAAGAACACATAACCGCGCCTATTAACGGTATCATGTGTGGTCTCTCTACAAGCCTGAACAAATAGACAACCGCGGGTCCGTGCCCGATGTCGGCGTCCGCCCACCCGCGCGGTTCCGCGGATGCCAGAGCGTTATCGTACCTATACCTGTACAAATTAACATCCTAATGCTAATTGATGTAGGCATATAGGCTTTTTGTTCTTAACTTTATTTCGCGAAACTAAAATTACTGCTAGCGACAAACCATCCGCGCGGTTTCCTCAAGATCATTCGCGCTTCGACCGCGGTTCGCGGATCGTGTGCTGTTCACATAACTTCCTTGGCTCTAGTAGTGTAACAATACAAGGAACGTGTATCATTTGAAAATTGAAAATCGAACTAACTCCAACACAAAGTATATAAGGTACTTCCTTGCACTGACATTATTTGCCACATCACGTCATATTCTGTATCGCCACTTCTTGAGGGTCTACCCCACGGTTCCTCCGTGGTCTACCCACTTGGAACTTGAATATATATATAGTTGACGAAAGTTAGGGGCAAACAAATAAAACACAAAATTAATAAAGCACTAATAAATCAAATAGAGTCTGATTGGAGAGCGCTGTAGTGCTTCTCTACCGTATTTAAGGTTTTAACCCTTTTAGACATGATCAAATACAAAACACCACAAGAAATCACAACAATAAACAAATCCGTATCAATACAATACTTTGACTTTTTATAGATTGCTGGGTTTGATTGCGAAATAAAATTTTTAATGTTAGTTCCGTTTTTCGCCACGCCCATTCTCTTTCCGCACAGACTCTAACGACAACAACATAATAAATCCTAATTAACATCATAAATGCGAAAGTGAGTTGGTTTGTTACTCAATCGCGCAAAAAATTCTGAGCGAATGGATGAAATTTGGTACGCCTATAGTTTATGACCTGGATTAAGACATAGGGTACTTTTTGACCCCGGAATAGGTTCGATTGGGATTCTGAAAAACTAAAGTAAATGCGGACGAAGTCACGGGAGGCCGCTAAGTTATATTGCTGTGGTTTCGACGATCGTAGTCAAAACGCGCTGACCACAGCGGCACCAATCTCCTGAAGATATTTTATTTTATTTTATTTAGGATAACAAAAAATTCTGCAATATGGTATGCTCAGACCAAATAAAAAGTAAAGACGGAGTCTGCCGAACCAAAAAGTGAAGCCGGTTTTTTATGTATGTAGTGCATTAGCCAGTGTTACCATAGTCATATAAAACACCCCAATATTAGAAAAATGTAATAACGTTATTCCATAACGTTATTAATAACGTTATAAAATATTAGAAAAAAATATCGTAAGCTTATTCTCTAAACCTCTCGTGAGCCAAAGGTCATGCGCCGTTCTCACCTACAAGTGCCGGACTTCTTTATGGACCGCCCGCCCGCTGGGTGGGAACGATTGCATTGTTCTGCCGATTTCTCTGTTATTTTGTAAAAATACCCTTCACAAACGTATATTTGGATTCTCCATAAAATTTTCAATAAAACAGTGTGTACACAATGCGTCATGTCTATAATTTATTTTAATTACATTATGGTAAACTCAGGAAAGATAAAAAAGTCGTTTAAATAGGTAAAATGAGGTATATTTTCAAAATTTGTAAATTATAAATCCAGGTTTTTGTACATATAGAATGTACTAAATATAAATGAATGTATATAATAACTTACCAAATACAATTATAAAATATAACACGCAACAGAAAAAAAAGGGTCGTGTGATTCAAGTGTTGATAAAAACAAATGCGAGATCCAAGTGCCTTGATTTATGTGTTGACGTTTAATTATGTTGGATTGTTCATTTTACTTTAGTTACAAGTCTCGGATGGAATAGGTTTTTTCATTTTATAGTTTCAAGCACTCGCAACAAGGCACTTGAAATCGCTACCAAATCAGTCATCTCAACTTTATGTCGATAAAACGAAAAGCATATACAAATGTTGATAAACCGTTTCTTTTATTAAAATGTACATGAAATTTTCTATAGAATACACAAAATATAATCACTAGTTCCTATACAAGAACATAATAAAATAAATCCACAAACATCGCGAATTTTGGGTCAAAAAGGCCATTAAAAAGTAGATGCATCTTAAAACGGTGTGCACATTAGATGAGGCACTTTTCTAGTGTGCACAGTTGCGGTCAAGGTTGAGTTTAAAATTAGCTAAGTACCAAATTAACATTATTTTTACTATTGTACTAATACTTTTAATGAACAATGATACTTAATTCAAGTAAGTTCGCTTTAATTTAGTAGCATAATACGGCAAAATGGGGAAACTGAAGCAAGTAGTTCTACCACAACATGATAGATGGTGGGAGTTGTACAAACAATAAGCAGTTAGCAAATAAATTATTGGAATCTTTAAAATATAAATTAATCTAAGTAACCATAATAATAGTAAAAAAAAATACCTTTGGATATGCATTTTGTTTTACACGACGTAACCCTTTTGTTGTGTAGTACAAATCGTCGCTCTGAAAATGAGTCAAACAAACCACGCTGCGGGAAGCTGGTTGCCACAATGGTTCATTTCTACTCTTACGAATGACTGCAATCCACTTCTCTTTTAGATATTGATCTCGATTAGGAAATCTTAAAAAAAAAAAAAATGGTTGCCTGTAAAGTCGGTTTTACGGGCGAAGATTTTACGTGACAACGTCTTTTTCTCGGTAGAATATTTATTGATATGAATATAATTAAATTGCACAATAGGAACAAGGAATTGAATGAAAATAAGAATTGCACAAATTTTAACTATAGAAATATATTTTGTTTACTGAAACATTGTACATGTAAACTTAAACTCATCGTAACGTTACCGAGCGTTACACTTTTTCATAAGTGACTCCCAGCCGCAACCTAATTTAAGACGTTGTCACGTCAAAACGTATAATATATAATATGTATTACATCCCAAAAAAATTATACGAATACATAAAGAAAAAAGATGTTTCGTGTAATTGTTTATCCATGCATTACAATATTCGAATAATATAAAAGTATGCCACACAATGTATTTAATAAAATAACGTTACGTTATATTTCACGCTACCCAACAAAAGGGTAAAACTGTAACGAATAATCATGGCAACATTTCGTTCAGGTTTTGTTTACAAAGCGACAACCTCAAATTTGATTTTGATTAATTGAAAATAACTTTACTTACGTATGAAATGTAATTCCATCCTGTTTTTTATTCTTGGAAGATTGGTTTTTACACGTTTTCACTACACAATTCGGCATTTTCTCTAATAAATATTGTTATTTATTATTACGTCACACTCCGCGCGTCGGGATAGCTCGACTGAGAAGCCAAGGCGTAGTTTCGTTGCATGTGTGTGCGTGTAACTGTGTATGTACACGGCGAGGCGTAGTTTTATCGGCTTCACTTTTTGGTTCGGCAGACTCCGTCTATACTTTTTATTTGGTCTGAGATGGTATGTAACGTAATAATGCTTTTAACTGGACTAGTATTTAACTGCAAATCAAAAAAATTAAGTTTTGTAAAATAATAATGTCCAATCCTAAGCAAAAATACTTATTGCACAGCAAAATAGTCACCTCAAAATATTATTATATTATTAACAATTTAAGGTCGTGATGCATCGCTATTTATTTAAAACAGAAGCTTTTATTAAGAATGTATATCTAATAATAACCACCTCACAACAAATCTAATATTTTTAAACAAAGCTGCCAAATGTTTATCTCATACAGCAGTTAACCTGAGTTAAATACCATTTTAATTGACATAAGAATATAATTATTTATTTATTACGAGACAATGAGATCAACTATAAATTCTGATACAAAAAGTATCGTCTACATTGCAATTAAAGCAGGTCTTGCTGTAGCGGGACGTCCACGCTTCCTTTTTTGTCCGATTGGTATAATTTTTGGTCTCTGCAGGTGCTGTCACATGCTTGAGCCGGATCGCAAGTCTCAAGATATGCTTGCATTTACAGTTTTTGAAAAAAAGGGGGCAGGTAAATTTACCATTCATCTAGGCACTTGTTTGCGTGAGCAAAAGACAACTGTCCAATATGCAAAAGCATTTTTTTTTTGATAACCATCAAGTGTCCCAATGTTGAGCAAGTTTTGAAATGCTTAATGGGAAATCTGATCCAAAAATTGTTGTTTTGTTATGAGTGTGAGTATTATGCGTCGAAGCCCTGGTTAATTTTCTGTGCAATCAGTATATTTGCTGTGCCATCAGTATATTTGCTGTGCAATCAGTGTATTTGATATCAAAATCAGATTTCTGTACAATAAAGCAAGCTTTTTGTCTCAAAAAAGGCAAGGGTTCATTCCGTACTACGGGTACTAAACTACGCAATAAAATTTTCGCTAATTGTTAGATATTTTTTATAACGGAAGGTTTATATAAAATATTATGAAAGTACTTGAAGCCGCCCGCGACTTCGCCCTCGTTATATTTAATTTTGTTAGAAACCCTTAGGAACCTAACTATTTAATCGGGATAAAAAATATCCTTTGTCTCAATCCAGGTAACAAACTATATGTGTGCCAAATTTTATCTAAATTCGTTTAGCCATTTTCCGATTTAATTAAGCCCCGTAAAACTCTCTCCAGTAAAATTTACTTCCTACCCCTTTTCACCCCGTTAGACGCAGAGTATTAAAGAACCTTGATAGAATGTTATTCTTTGTTTCGAGTCTTTA